TGTAGCGATATTTTATTTTGTTTCATAGATAATTCTAAAACTTTGTTTATATGATTTTAATTATTAGAGGTTGATCTATTTTATTTTTATTCATGTCGTATATATTGTTTATTTAAAATAATAAATTAATGCATGTGTTATCTAAAGTTTCTATCATATACATAATCAATTTGAATTCTTTTAAAACCGAACTTGCTTCATTAATGATCAAAATAAGTTTAAGAGAGTTCAAATTCTCAAGGAGGCAGGGTCAAGAAGTCGTTGGCAACGCCATGAACCGAGATCACCTTGCCAAAGTGTGAGCATAATGTTTTTATTCCTTCAAATAAGACAAAATGTAACAAAACAACTGTCCAACGTTTGATATTCAGATAAGTAGAACAGAATATGACAAAATAACTGTTCAATGTTTGGTAGTATATAAATAGACATGGCATAACAAATAATATGATCAATTTACCTTTAATAAGTTGTTTATATTGTTTATATATTTTGATTAAATATGCGTAATTTATTGAACCATAATAAAATACACATTGTTATAACAAATGTATAATTAGAAGGTTTTCGTCAAGACGATTAAAATGACATTAAAATAAAAAGTTTATGTACTTTTCAATTTTTATTTTATACATTGTTTTATTATTAGTAATATTTAATAAACTACAAATTATCTAAAATATAAAAACCGTATAAAAATAATATTTCGAGACAGTAAAATGAAAGTTTAAATAACAGCAAATACGATAATAAAGTCTAAATAACGAATAAAATGTAAAGAAGGAGGCGTATTTGATATTTTAGAAGAAAATTTAGTTTTATTTTGAAGTTATATTGGTAAAATATAAGTTTGTTATTCCTTGTTCCATGGGGGTAGGGGTGGTACATGCATGTTCCACTTTGTTTCTGTTTAGTCCACTTAAAAGTGATGTCAAACGTGGAACAATAATCTCTATTCTATTATATTTTATTCCATCATGTTCAATGTACCCAAATACATGGTTTGGATTATGATCGATTATGGCTCCAAAGTCGGTAGTATCTTCATCTCCTTTTAGTGTTGCAGGCTTGCAACTACAACTCTTTGGGAGTCATTGAAAAACCACATGCTATCTAGTACCCCATGTCATGAATCCATGTTATATATAGCTTTAGGAGACCGACCAACGACTCTCACTTATTCACCTTTGGTCAACCCGTAATCTTCATCAGAAAATCTCAAACCCATTCGTGATTCGTGTTTAAGGACTAATCTGGTGTATCTTATCTCAGTTATATCATCTTAATGTACATCCAAGAGTGGAAATTTATTCTTACGTTTTTCACTATAACCCAACCTTCATGCTTGCTAGTTGTAACATCCCAAAATTTCGAATATTTAAATATATCAAAACTAGTGTCCCAAGATCAAACACTTACATTGCAGTGGAATAAAAATTTTTAATTTTACAAATTATATCACCATCTAAATTACAATCTTGAGGAGCATAACTTTGCTCTATAACAATGCCTTGATCTGCACATATCATTCTTTGAAGTTAATCCTTATATCTTTTTATTGCATTTTTCTTTCCACTCAAAAGTCGCCTGGGTAAAAAGTTTTAAAAGAGTTTTGGGTGAGCTTTAGGCCCAGTGAATCCACGGTTTTCATGCATGAACAACAACTTTTATGATAAACAATTTTCACGAAACTTCATAATTTAGCATGCCTTGATGAGAATAACACTTTTCACAAAATAACGATATTATAGTGTGTGTTTACATCACAAAGCAACGACGTCATGAGAGATGTCTACCTCACACAGCATTACTTGGCAAACTCACACAGCATGTCCGCACTTACGGCTTAGACAAGCTCACAAAGCATGCTCGTCTTTACAAAATCATACCATAGTACATCTACAAATTCAGAACACATATTATAAAAATATCAAACTTTTCACGCATATATAGCATATCAAAAATAAGGCATGCAACCATTTTAAAAATAAATCACGTGTAACTCACAATACATGACGTAGCCCAAACCAATCTTTAACGTGGCTAGCATCTCCTCGATTGGTGCCAAACTAGCTACGATGTAGATTATCGTCAACTCTCATTACAACGTCCACCGTCGCCTTTTCTCACAATAGTTCTCCTTCTTGACCCCAAGCTACACATAAAGCTACAAACTCCCATTTTATACTAAACCCCATCGGTGGTTTCACGGAATATGAAACAATAAGTCATGATTAATAGTCATAAGTTTCATGACCATTGAGTTTCCTGTTATTAAATTACATTTAATTTTTTTCTTTTTTTGGGTTATTACACTAGTTTCTCTCCTTCCATATGCTCTACATCACAACCACCAAACTGCTCAGAAGTGAGGATGTATTATTTGTAACACCTTAAATACCCACTTAATAAAAAACGTTTATTATAAGTAAAAAATTTACAATCAATAACTTAATGAGGTTTATGTATTTGAAAATACACAATTTGTTTCATAAGATTTCAAGTTTCAATTTTATTTCAATTATCTTGAAATTGAAATTCCTATTCACAATATTCACATGTGATTGTTTTAAATCTTTCGTCACATAAAAGTCTTCACAAAAACAAGCTATAAACTAAATATTCACATATCATTTTTAGAGTTTTAGGGATTATTTGTTTATCTTTTAATAGTTTTATTAAAAACAATCTCTGAATTGTTAAGAGCTGAATCTTGTTTGACAAAAAAAATCAGTCTCTTAATGGTTGTAAAACCCTCTTAATGATTTTGTATCATCAGTCTCCCTTAACCATTTAGCGCCCTAATTCAATTGTAAACAATTATCGAACAATTATATTTTATTTTACACTATGTAATAAAAGTCCCTTAATCATTTTAACTTCCTAACTATTAATATAAAATCATTCAACATATGTAAAACAACTTCTTAATTTTTAATTGTTTGCATGTGTGGGTTGTAAAACATATTTTTTGGTCTTAAACAAATGGTATGATACTTTATGCTTTTGGAGAAACATTTCCACTTATATAATGCATATGGAAAAACACAAACCTCCCTTTTGTTCCTTTCTAGAGAAGTAGACCTACTACTACTGCTACTAATACACAGTCATCGCATAAACCCTAGGAACTCCAATCTAGAGAGAGAGAGATCAGCCACCTATGAGCTTCTGAATTCACCTTCTCCGGACACCCTTTTCACCTTCCTCCCGTTTTTTCCACCTGCCGCCGTTTACCACCATGGAAGACACTACTTATGATCGTTTTGCGGTCACCTTGGACCCTTCTGCACAGGAATTCCGACCAACATACCCTTTGTCTTTACCTCCCCCCTTACCCAATACTTACTACTCGTACAACTTTTACAGTCCTCCACCACCGCTACCGCCACCGCCAGCGGCGGTGTATGCTACCCATAAACAACCTTCTCTCCCTCCGCCACTCCCACCACCATCAACCACCCCAACACGCACCCTCCTGCTGAGCTCCGTCCCTTCCGACGTGAGCGAGTCGATAATCCGGCGAGACTTGGAGGTGTTCGGAGATGTGAGAGCTGTACAGATGGAAAAAGTAAGAGATGGGATCGTCACCGTCCATTTTTACGACCTACGGCAATCGACGGAAGCGCTTCACGAGATTCAGGAACAGCACATGCAACAACAGTGTCGTCTACGGAAACACTTCGATTCACTCACGTTGTCGTCGCCGTCGCCGTCGAACAATTCGGTTCCGCCGTATAATTACCATACCAACAGTTACTTATCACCTCCACTCCCTCCGCCGGCGCCTGGACTCATCGCCGGTCGCGCCGTCTGGGCACAGTTCACTTTTCCAGCCGCCGCCGGTCTCCCCGACGGCTACAATCAAGGCACAATCGTTGTTTTCAACTTGGACTCCGATGTCACCGCCGGAACCCTCAAAGAAATATTTGAAGCTTATGGTAATTACTAATTAGTTAAATTAATCACAGAATTTAGCTATAATATGAAGTTTTATGGGATTTATGCATATAATCAAATCCAAGTTTGTGGGCCAAATTTATGTGGGAATATTGGTGTGATAGGTCGCTTTCCTCATCAATTTGAGATCAATATTGATGATGCTGATATTTTTGTTTCTATTTTCGGCATTTTTCTGTTCCTCCTTTGACTCTTTGATTAATTTTGATTCTTTCTTAATCTAAGTGTTTTGATGTTTTGTTGGGTTATGGAATTGAAGGGTGTGTGAAGGAATTAAGAGGGACGCCATTGAAGAAGAACCAAAGGTTTGTAGAGTTTTACGACACTAGAGATGCAGCAAAGGCTTTAATGAACATGAATGGCAAAGAAATTCACGGCAAGACGGTGGTCGTCGAGTTCAGCCGTCCAGGCGGTCACAAAGGTAGTCCCAAACACAATAGATTCAACTCCATCAGCACCACCATTCGGCCGCCGTCGATCATTCTTGCACGTAATTTTCCTTCGGATTCACTTGCTTATCGTCGTCCTTCTCCTCCACCACCGCCGCCGCCGCCACAACAGGGGGGCAACGGAAAAGTCGTGGATTGGTTTCGGAGTTCTTTGAAGAAGACCGGAAAAAAGCAACCCGAAAATGTCGGTGGTGGTGCTTGGAGTAAGCAACGGAAGGGTTCGAGACAAACAAGAGAGAGGTACGATCCAAGGTTTTTGATCAAGGAAGATGGAATCATTTCTGAATCAAGCTTTTCCGATTCAAGAACTACAGTTATGATCAAGAACATCCCGAACAAATACAGGTTTATTTACTCATCATTTCTTCAGTCTATCGGTTCACAATCCAAGATTTGAGTTTCATTTTCTTCGATGAGTGCAGTCAGAAACTGTTGCTGAACATGCTGGACAACCACTGCATTCACTGCAACGAGCAGATAGCCGGTGGCAGCGGCGGAGACCAGCCATTGTCTTCATATGACTTCGTCTACCTTCCTATCGATTTCATGTATGCATGTTTCAAAAAACAAAAAACAAAAAAACGGTTGTCGAAATCGATGGTAACATCAAATAATAATGAATTTTAGTTAAAAATTAGTTCTCCATTGAATCTGCAACGCCGTGCAGGAACAAGTGCAACGTGGGATATGGGTTCGTGAACATGACGTCGCCGGAGGCAACATGGAGGTTATATAAGGCGTTTCACCACCAAAACTGGGAGGTTTTCAACTCCAAGAAGATCTGCGAAGTTTCTTACGCAAGATTGCAGGTTAGATCCAATTCCAATATCTGTATTTGTTATCTCGTAATTTTGACATAAATTTGTGGAAATTTGAGAAGGGGGTGGATGCATTGAAGGAGCACTTCAAGAACTCAAGGTTTCCATGCGAGGCGGAGGAGTATATGCCGGTGGTGTTCGAACCTCCGCGAGACGGGCGGAAGCTGACGGAGCCAACACCGATCGTAGGACGCAGCATGGTAGAGGTTGGAAGTTATAGTAGTAGTAATAATGAGATTGTTGTAGAAGATGTTAATTCCGATAATAGTAACAGTGACGGCGGCGGTGACGGCGGCGGTGGTGGTGATGATGATCGATAGAATTTAATTAAAAACTCCAGTGTATTTTATTAAATGTTAAATGCTAAATGCTAAATGTGTGGCAGTAATCAGATGAGTTTTTTTTTAATTAAATTAAAAAAGAATTTTGAGTTAATTACTAATTTAGTACCTATTGTTTCATGGGTTTTATGAAAAATGCCACCAACTCTAAAAAATTCATGAAGAGTCCTCTTAAGTTTCCTTTTGGTTAGGTTTCATACCAAAGAAAAAGAGCCTGACAGGGGAATTGTGGTTCACATTCTTTCTCGTCTTTGTGAACCACAATTCCCTTGCCGGGCTCTTTTTTTGGTGTGAAACCTAACCGACACCTTACACCAGGGGCGGACCTGCTTGGTTGGCACGGATGGCACGTGCCACCGTATTATTTAGCCACCGAAGGGTAAAAAATTTAGGTTTTACCATATCGTTTTGAAAGGTGCTACTGTATTTTTTTTGAATTTCAAATAGTGCAACTAAATCTAAAACCCAAACAAGATAAAGCCCAAATAAATTAGATAAGTAAGCCCAACAAATTGATTAATCTAATAATACTAGTTGTGAACCCGCGCAATGCGGCGGGAGCCATGTATTTTAACGATTTTGAAGTTCCATTGGTTTTATAAGATAAGATTTAACGATGATATATGTTACACTTGGTATTTACATATTAATACAATTTGAATAAATAAGAGTTATGGTTACAATTACAGACTATCAATGAAAAAAATTGTATGACAGTTTAAAATCCAATATATTTAAAATCCAACATATTAAAACGACTTCACAAATGTATTCGATTTACACCAAGAGCAAAGAACCAAAAAAACTTGAGTTTTAAGATAAACACTCAAACCAATAAAGAAAACTACAAATTTGACCGATCATATGCCATGAAAAGACAAAAAAAAGATGGGTTTTAAAATGAAATTTGGGTATATATTGACCGTTTTCAAAAGATGAAGATGCGTCGGGTACAAGTTTAGGAGTTGTTTATCGGTATTATAAAAACCATATTTTTTGTAATTAATTTTTAGATATATATTATATTATATTAATTATATGGTGTCACCGTATGAAAAATTTTCTGGGTCTGTCCCTGCCTTACAACGCAGTTCGTCTTCCTCAATTGCTTATTTTCCGCAAAAACTTTACTTCCACTTGCAACAACCCTTCGTTTGCTTCCCCAAACGATCACTTGCAAACAACTTCTTTTCTTTGTGGTGACCCTTCTATTGGTGTGTGGATTCAAGGGTTTGTTTGATGTGTATTTAGTAAAAAGGGTAAAATACAAAAAAAAAAAAAACCCTTTGATTTAAGAGGAGTTAATGTATAAGGATCTGATCCAAAATAATTCATGAATTTTAAGACTATTCATGAAAAAACATGAAACTACAAGGACTAAAACTGTAATTAGTGTAGAATTATATTTACTGTATATGCATCAGCTTCAGGTCGAGCAGAAGCAGCCTCACTGGCGGCCTACTTGCTCTAGGTACCACCTCTTTCAACAGATCGGATGAGACGGTCATTATTATTTTTGTATTTAAAAATTAAATATAAATTATTTTTATTTGAGTAAATTATCATGTAAAAAATAATATATTTTAATTTGATTCGTATTTTGGATAATATAATTTAAATTTTTTATTTTAATATGTAAGATGTAAAATTTTGAACATTTAAGTATCCGATAATCGGTTGAAGTATTTACCGGTTACCATATTAATATAATGAACGATGTGGTATTCAACTTAGTATTATTTCCTGACACGAATATCTTAATCTAAAATTAGTTTTTATGTATCGTGGTCTATTAGAAGAAATAGTTAATGCTTCAACCGGTTACCCGAGTACTTAAATATTTAAAACTTTACATCTTATGTACCAAAATGGATGTTTTAAAAGTACGCTACCCAAAATAAAAACAAGTTAATGTAAGAATTACAATCATATAACATTGTAACAATGTGTTATTATGTTGCTGATACAAACATTCATAGTTGTAGTCGTCGTGTCTTTTTATTTCCTTATGTTATAATATCACAATTAAGTGTGAGTCAATTATTTTGTATACATGAAGTGTTAGTTTTAAGAAGTTATATAAAAGTGTTGAGATGATAGATTATGAGAATATTTAGAAATAATTAATGGGTTATGTTATAAAACCAGTATATAATTTATTTATTTCAAATAAGCAATGTTCAAATACATTTATACAAATTTAAAGGCATTGATTATAATAAGGGTCTGTTTTTTTTTAAATTATCTTTTAATACCTCTGAAGTCTGATTTGTTTGGATATTTAGATATTAAAAACGTTTGTTTTATTTTTAAAATAAGAGCTTAAAATCTCTAAATGTCCATTGATATTTTAAGTGGTAAATGTATCTCAATACATTTTAATCTTAATCTGCTATCTATCACATTGTTCATATTTTGAGGGTTAGAAAAGTTCTGTTAGTAAAAACTATTCATCTTTTAACTTTTTTAAATAACTATTTATCTTTTAGATTTCTATACTAGTTTGATCAATTCAGATATCAAATTTCATATGTAAAAACAAACAATCTTATTGATCCAGATTTCAGACTTCAGGACCACATCTTATAAATCAGAAGTGAAATCAAACTTCAAACTTCAACATCTTTTAAAAAACAAATGTTACCTAAATGTTAGAGAAGTTGTCTTAAACCTTGAACATTTAATCATTTATTTTAGAAAAATTGTTTTTAATTTGAACATATTTTCAAATCCAATTATACAAATATAAAAACAAGTAATGTTGGGCTTTAGGGGTGTTCATGAGTTTCGGTTGATGGGGTTGAAAACATTTGAACAATGCAACCCAATGTCTGTGGTTTAAAAAATCTTAACTTAACCCAACCCAAACCAAAGTGCAACCCAAACCATACGTGCTGGTCGAGTTGATATTTTGGTATATTAAAATATTTCTCTAACCTTGAATATGTTATTTCTTTACTCATATTTTTTTTATCATCATCCACTTGATACAACTTGTCCATACTTCTTACGTATATCACATTCAGTTAATTTTCTCAATTTACATATATATGTTCACAGTTATTGAACATATATGAATGAGTTATATATAGATGTGAATAGATTGAAAATATGTGTATATGAAGAGCGTACATGATAGTCTAATTGTCTAATGTATATATTACTAGAAATTGAACAATCACATTAACACCAATAAATAAAAAGATATCGGGTTCATTAGATTTAGTTAAGTTCAAATAATAGTAACTCAATACCTACAATTTGAAAATTTTACAACTATTTTAAACATCAAGTTACTTCAGATTAAATTATTTCACATTGGATTAGGTTGATCGGATTTTTGAACACCCTCATAAGCTTCATCAATTACCGTTTATTGGAAATTTAGGATGATATATCATTTATTGATCGAATCCCAAATAAAAAATAATTGAAAATTTAAAAATAGGTGTCCATAAAGATTAGTACTTAGGGTACTTTCGTGTAAGGTTATTGACGTATCTTTTCGTGATAATTACAATAATTCTTACAAGAGATATTTAATTTATAGAATAAATATTTTGTTTTTATTAAATTAACAAAATCGTTTTAATATTTAAGAGTAATCAGGTTTACTATCTATATCTATATTATATTATAAAGCATTTGACAAAAAAACTTTTAAAATCATTTTTTATGCATGAAATATTGTTTATTGATGCATATTACTTAAAATTCAAGATTACAAATAAATTTTGCGTAAGTACAACTTATTAAAACTTCATGTTTAAATTCGTGTAATTAGCTCCAGACAACAGATAAACATAATCAAATACGAAATAAACATATAATTTTAAATATAAAAAATTTAGAATATAATTAGGATAATAATTGAGTTTTAACAAAAGACTTAATTATTATGTTTTATACAAAATATATTATTAAACCAAAAGTAAAAAAAATTAATTATAGAAATTACACAAAAAAGGAGAATTTTTAATTAGTTGGATACTAATATTAATATATATACTTTTTAAATTTCTATGACATCTTCATATTTATATTTTATTTAAAAATAAAAACATTATTGTTTTCTCAAAACCACATAAAATCGTAATTATAACATCGACTGAGACAAAAATAATAATAAAATGAAACATTAAAATCGAGATGTATCTTGCTGCATTATACCAGTACCCTTCTAGTTTATTTAAATGTTTTCATTGTTGTTGATAATTTATATTCTAACTTTATTTCGTTAAAAACATCTATAACAACTGTGTTATAATAGAAATTTTAGCTGTGGTGTAAAAACTATATTATATTGTATAGTAAATCAAAAATATGAAAGCTGAAAGAGTATGAAAATCTGTATATTTAAAAAAATCTCTAAAACTCTATATAAGAAAGAGAAATAATATTATAATTATTTTCCACCAATAATAAGTATTAACCCCATGGAAAACCAAGAGAGTAGCATGAGAAGAAAAATCTACCTAAAATGGAACGCAACCCTCGGAAGACCAAAAGTAACAACGTGAAGACTGCAACCAACTCAAACGATACATCCACTAAAGGTTACATGGATCGCTTTCGTCATCTTCTCGACACCCGTTCAAAAACCCGAACTTTCATCTCAACGAACAAAATTTTGTCGATGATAACTTTATCTTGAAAACTAAGTTATTACGATGTCCTGATGTCTGCTATATAATGGCCCAAATAGTTACTTGCCAAATCCTCTTTCACCAAGGTGAGACAAAAAAAACGTCTCCGTAAAAATTTAACTCGTATTTTCCATGCCAATATTGAGCCTCCACCATTTTAGAACCGAATCTCAGACTGCTCTAGCAATCTTGTACCTTGTGATACAACGAACAAGAGTTTTAGAAGTCTTGTTCACAACATGGAAAAGAACCCATTCTAAGTCATTACCTTATTTTATGATAATATTTTTTAATATTGTCTTCAAATACATTTTTTTAATTTTTTTTATGTATAATAAGATAATTCATATCTCAGTGACAAAACAAATAACAAAATATGTTGAGTAAAATATGAATTTGATTCATGTGGTTTACCCTTTCTACTAATAGTGATCCCAAAATCAAAACAAATACAGATATGGAACTTCTGGTTGACATTTTCACTCATATTAAGTCCCTCTAACAAGATCAAAAAGACTACATTAACAGAGTTATATTTGAGGGTATTTTGGTCTTTTTATATTTAATTTTGTCTTTATCCTAATTAAAAAAAGATAGTATATATTAATTAATATTATATACAATATATCAAATTGACGATGAACCCTTCATCCGACACTTGTCACTCTCCGAGTAATCTACCTTCCCCGTGATGATCTCTAGTCCCTCTGGGCACTGCTCACTCTCCGGGTACTGTAACACTTGTGAATTGTGTCAAAGATTTCTTTTGACATTTAAGTTTTCTTTTTTTTTTTCTCTTCTCTTTTCTTTCTATAGGTCTAAAAAGTTTCTTTATGTA